AACTCTTCTTGCCAGATCAGTTCATGTCTGTCTCCAAAGTGCGTTCCTCTCAAGATATCCACAGCCTGGCCACACTCTAACTCATTACATATAACGGAGGCAGTTTTGAAATCAATGTGTGAAAAACAGACCGTAGCCCAAGTTTCTTCTTGCTTTACTTTCAGATGTCCTGAGCAGGCAGTGTCCCCTCCAGTCAGACGCAGTGCAGAGAAACCTGGAAAAAATCCCGAAGAAATCCAGCATCAAGAGTTGGTTGTACTGACCTAATTTAATAACTCCCATACCTTCATGGACAAGACACATGTCACTTCTCTGAGGACCACTGACACTTTTAAGTAACTATTGTGGCAATTCCTGTATGCCACTGACAAGAGAGAAAATGCTGTGGGGGAATGATGGTTTCTTAATATGTGAAAATACTAAATCCTTGGGAAGCTACAGAAGGAGGGAAATTTGAACATTTGCCAAATGCTTGAGAAGGAGCAATACTCAAATAATTAAAAAAAAAAAAAAAAGCCATTTACTAGTGTGTGTCCTCGAGATGTACCTATTCAAATAAATAGGAAGCTGAAGCGCCCCACAATGAGGAAATGTTGCACCCATCTTCAGAAAAGACAAAAAAGACAGTCTGGAGACCTACAGGCTGCTCAACCTCATTTTGGTACCTGGGAAAAACATAGAGTGAGTCCTCCCGGAAAACGTTTCTAGGCACAAGAAGGTGAATGGGGAGGTTTAGACTGGATATTAGGAAACATTTTTTCACTAAAAGGGTTATTAGACATTGGAATAGGCTGCCCAGGGAGGTGGTGGATTCGCCATACCTGGAGGTGTTTAAAAAGTAGATGTGGTGCCTAGGGACATGGTTTAGAGGTGGTTTTGTCAGGGTAGGTTGATGGTTGGACTTGATGATCTTAAAGGTCCCTTCCAACCTTAGCGATTCTATGATTCTATGATTTACCAAAGGTAAATCATGCCTGTGTGACCTTATTACTTTCTCTGATAAAAGTGACTGGATTTGTGGATGAGGGGAGACCAGCACGTGTCATTTACCTCACATTTAACGAGGTCTTTGACACTGTCTTGCACAATGTTTTTGTGTCCAAACTGGGATGTTGGAGTCTGGGTGGGTTGACACCTAATGGTTAAAAAGGTAATTAGATGATCACACTCAAAGAGTAGTGATTAGTGGGTTGCGCTCTACCTGGAGGCTGGCAACAAGAGGAATACCACCTGTTGGGTCTTTCCCGGGATGTGTTCTGTTCAGCATCTTTATCAAAAACCTGGAGGTGATGGAGTGCATTTGGGGAGTTTGGAGAGATAACCCCAAGGGCAGAGCTGCCATTCAGAGGGACCTAGACAGGCTGGATTAATGGGCTGACAGGAACCTTATAAAAATCAAAAAGGACAAATGTAAAGTCCCGAAGCTGGGAAGGAAAAACCTTTTGCAACAGCTCTAAAGAGCAAAACCATGCACATCTTGCAGAGGAAGGGAGCGAGACATACATTAGATTTTTTTTGCCATTGTAGACTGCCCTGTCTTAGCTTATACAAAGATCTGGAGAAGAAGGGCAGTTGTATGGCATAACACAACATTTTCTTGCTTCTCCATTTACACCTGCTTTTGTAGCCCCCATTCCTCGTCAAAGACAAGTTTAGTACTGCTCTCCTGTTGCCTGGGAGAGCTGTGGTAGAAACAAATAGTGTTTCTTTTTCTGTTCTATGTCATTTAGTATATCTACTTTGATTCTGTGTCATTGACTATGTCTGCTTTGATTCTATATCACTGCTGTGCCCAGGCATGTATGTAGACGTACACTTGTAGTCAGGAGAAGACTTAATGCCAGTGCAACTTGCTTTAGTTGAGCAGAAGCTATTGCACCTCTGTGCAATACTTGGCTTTATCCAGCTAGGACAAAGTTTGATGTCCGCCTCATAGCATTTTTCTGTTATACAAGGTTGGATGACCTCTTACCTGAGCAGATCACTCCGGTATCAAAGTAATGAGGGCAGTTAAAGGCACCCCATCCTCTATGTGTGCAGTTCCAGAGAGCGGATTCATCACCACGGCAATCAACTCGATACAGCCATGTTGGTCCAGATCCTTCTCCAAAAGGAGCTCGATTGAGGGCCCGAACAGCAGATCCACATTGTAGTTGCTTACAAACAACCTCAGCATCTTCTATGGTCCAGTCACCATCACACACAGTTCCCCACTGCTCCTCATGTTTTACTTCCACTCTCCCAGAGCAGGGGCCAGTTCCATTTGACAGCCTCAGTTCATCAGCACCTTCATACACAGAGACAGAGCAAGGTTATGGAAAGGACAGTGCCTAATCGTGATTATCTATTGCAGATGGTTAATGACATTATTATTATTCTTAATTTACTCTTAAATCAGATTTATTTGGCTCACCTTTCTAAATAGTCCAATTTAAAGGCTTCTTGCAGGGAGTTGTGTCTGTATTTACAAGTTTGAGCTAATCGCACTGCTAAAATGTAAGTAATTTCTAATGACAGGTGAGCTTTCTCTTGTTCTGACCTATCAGGGCTGGGAAATGATGAGTAATGTACCTGCTGTGTGATTCACAAAGGCTTCAACAGAGACTCCTCCTTTCTCTTTATTGTTCTGCCATGATGATATCCAGCTGAAAATATTCACTGGGCACCGGTTTCTTAATTTCTGTGTTCAGTATGGTGTGAAGAAGCAATTTCCCTCGTCTGCTTCAACTTCTTCCTCTCAGACAAACTATTACTTGCAACTCAGTGTCCCAATACTCTTTATTCTTTCCCTCCTCTCTTGCCCTAGCCACGGGGTCCCCTAGTCAGGGGTACCTCATGAGGGAAGAGAATTACTCATGAGGGCTGGCAAGCTATCTCAGGAGATGCAGCAGCATAAACAGAAGACAGACAGGTAGGTCTTCATATTGTTCCTTATGCCCCACCATCTCTTGGGGTAGGGTTGGTGCCTGAAGAACCCTCTTTTCCTTCTCTGCTCCCAGGTTTGCCTCTTCCCTTTGGTATGGATACACGGTTCCCAGTCCTTTTACCTATAGACTTGCAAAATAACATTACTGTCATCACAGAGCACTTGATAAAGAGCCAGACATACAGGCTCTTGCTTTACGGTGTTGAACTGCTACTATAGATGCTTCAAAAATTATGTAGTAGCTTAGCCCAGGGACTTATAGGATAGAAAACACAGGGAGAATTTTGTTACATTCAAATGCAGGAATGATGGTGGAACACAGAAGCAGTTGTTAGGAAGTCAGGCCACATCAAAGGCCTGCTAGGACCCAAGAAACACAGGGGAGCAGGTCTGAGTCTGTGTCTTAACATAGACAGTTAACTGTTAACAGTTAACATAACAGTTGGAAAAACTGAAGTATGTAGCCTAAGACATAATGACATGTAAAGATAAAAAATGGACTTGTTCAGGAATTGTCTTAAGTTCTTTTTGCCAGCCAGGAATTTTAAAGCAAGAGTTTTGGAACATGTTTTCATAAAAAAGATTCTTTATCTGCAGAAAAGTAAAACTCTGCTTGAGTAAAAAGCATATGCAGAATTGATGTTGAAAAGAGTTAAAAATCCACAAAATGAGCAACCATGATGTGATGGCTTACTCTGAAACCATAGCAATGGGAATAGAAAGTCCCTAAAACAAAAAGCCCATTAACATAAATAATCCATTCTTGAAGTTAGTCATTGTTCCAAGTGGAGCCCCAACAGAACAGAAAGTTAAACAGTAACCTAGTGGTAGCTGTTAGGATGAAGGTATAACCTCTAGTTACCTTAGATAATTTTAATACTAAAAATCACACCTCTAGGAGGAGATTTTATATGTAAAGCTAAGACCACCTTAGTATAATGAGCCAGACAGGAGTTGGGACATGCGCAAATGAGTTTTTGTTATATAATTACAAGTGGCCTATCGGCTATTTTGATGTGATTTTCCTTTGTTACCTTTTTGTATAAAAGACCCTAGGTGTCTCCTAACAGGTGTGCTAGCTTTGTGAATTATTGCCTAGCACCCTTTTCTGCGCAGAACTGAAATAAAACAAATATCTTGACTCTGTCTGTCGCTTGGTTTTTGCACACCAAGTAAAGAACCTGGATTTGGGACAACAGAATTACAGAATCATAGAACACGTTAATATTCTGAATGGACATAGACAATGATTATGTGTAGATATTTGTGAAAACAGACATTGAAACAAAAAAAACCAACCCAAACCTTCTGCCAAATTCCATCAAAACCAGTCACTGTTGTAATTAAACAACAATATGGATGGCATTCATTTGTTAGGTTATGTGATAGAAAGCTTGTCTCCATGTGCAAAGGAGGACAGAGGAACAATGGCAGGTGGTGGAACCCCAATAATCTAATAAGGGTCCTGCCCTCACCCCTTCTAGAGCTTTCTCAGCAGAGCGATCAGCCCCATTGTCCAGGTGTGAAACCCATCAAATGAATCAACATGCGGGCTTTCTGTGTCACCTTAGAGACTGAGGGGGGCTACAGCCTAGATGGTATGGGACACACATTTCTTCTGCACATGGGATGCAAGAGAAGAGCATCTTGGAATTGCGTAAGGTTTATTATGGGATGTTTAGGAGAGGAATCAAAGGTGGGGAAAGGGAAGGATCAAGGATGTTTGGTTAGGAGCAAGTATGGGAAAATATAAGGGTAAGTGGATAAAAGAACCAGAGTCAATGGGCACAAACACAGGAGTTTCCATCTGAATATCAGGAAAAACTTTTTTACCATGAGGACGACTGACCACTCGAACAAGTTACCCAGGGAGGTTGAGGAGTTGGCTTCCTTGCTTGAGCAGGGTAGTTGAACCAGATAACCTCCAGAGGGCCCTTCCAAACTCAACCATTCTGTGATTCTGTGAAAAGCGTCCGGTGGTGGGTAAGCAGACTGCTGGTCAGTATGCTTGTCTGGCTATACCCTGCATCTAATCAGCACTGTCCGTTGTGTCTTCTTATTAAGATCTATTTCCAACTGTTTTCCTGGTTGAGGTGACTCTGTTCAGTGTGCATGTGTGTGTATGGAGTTCTAAATGCCAGCAGCTGGAGCTGGACCACAAGTCACAGAAGAACATGTTTTTGGTGCTATACTGATTTTGGCTGGGATAGAGTTAATTTTTTTCATAGTAGCTTGTATGGGGCTATATTTTGCATTTGTCATGAAACCAGTGTTGATAACACAGGGATGTTTTAGTTATTGCTGAGCAGTGCTTGCACAGCATCAAGGCCTTTTCTGCTTCTCATACTGCAAGTGAGTAGGCTGGAGGTACACAAGAGGTTGGGGGGGGCACACAGCTGGAACAGCTGACCCCACCTAACCAGAGGGATAGTCCATACCATATGACATTGTGCTCAGCAATAAAAGCTGCGGAAGAAGGAGGAAGCGGGGATGTTTGGTGTTTGGACATTTGTCTTCCCAAGTAGACATTATGCATGATGGAGCCTTGCTGTCCTGAACATCTGCCTGACGATGGGAAGTAGTGAATGAATTCCTTATTTTGCTTTGCTTGCGCACACAGATTTTGCTTTACCTATTAAACTGTCTTTATACTCAACCCACGAGTTTTTCTCACTTTTACCCTTCCAATTCTCTCCCCTATCTGTGACTGTTCACTCAACTCCTGCTCAGATTTTGGCTAACACAGCTCATGCAAAGCCCTGATGTATGCTGGGAGCAGTGCCATTAGGTCAAAGCAAGAGCACCATGTAGGCAGGATAGGTGCCCAGAAAGAGCTAAAGGGCCATTATAATACATCCATTACCACCTGCAGTTTTCTGGCTCCTGCAGCCATTGTCTTTTGTCTGTCAGTCTCTTCAGAATCTGCTAACTTATGGAAATCGTATAGACAAAACTTTCAGGCTGGAAGGCATAAAACATCAGCTTACCCAAAAAGCCTTTGAAGGAAATGCAACAGCAGCTGGACTGCTGAGGCTTTCATGCTTCCTGGTGCGATACAGGGGATGCCCACACCGTGATGGAGGAGGAAGGATGAGCACTCTCACTGTCGGCTAGGTAACTGTTTTCTGTTTGTTTGTTTGTTTGTTTTTTTCTCATAAATGCACGAATTAAGAGTTAAGGTTTATAAATTATGAAACTTTATAACTTGAATCAGTGACTTCACATGACAGACTAGTCTGGGCAAAGGGGAAACGAGCCCCTGTTGTTGTTTTTGTTTATTGTATTTCTTAATAAGCTCCTAAACCAAACTTTAATTCACAGAGTACATTGTCCTGTAAATTTGAGAGATCCAAATGGACTGTGACACCCATCCCAATGGGGGACGGTGAGTGAGCAGCTATGTGATGCTTAGCTGCCTACTAGTGTTAAACCACAACAGATGGCAGCAACTGGAATGAGTGAGGGTACCACATGTCAGTGTGTGATTGCTAGTGAATATCAAGCTGGACAAGCCAGTGAGTAAGATAATTGGCTTGGGAGCCAAGAATGTGTATGTGCCTCTGGGAGTGAGGTAACCAGAGCGTCCAGGCCAACTACTGGGAAGATAGTAAGGTCTTCAATTTGATCAGGTTTGAATTTCAGACTGTTATGGAACAGGTAAATCCCTGAAGAGGGCTGGCAACTTCTTTTGAGTCCTGGAGGATCTTTCAGATTGACCGCATAGCTAGAGAAAGTTTACAGGACAGTCATGTAACAGCCTAGTAACTTTGGTCCCAAATTACCACTGTTTCAAAACCTGACACACAATGGAAAATCAAAGCAAACATCTTTAGGACAGGTTTGATCCAATTATCAGTGTCCTGAGTGCACTAATAATCCTTAATGGCCTTGAGCTTCCCCAATGGGGGTCTCCACTCACACACTCTGCCCATGGACCCAGGCCTCCATTTAATCACAGGCCTGGACCTTCTGTCCCTGCCTGAGCTATGTTGTTGGTGCATCTGTGTTCAACTTGGGCACAGCCGTGCCTGGCCATGGGCGCTGTTGATCTGCACTCTGAGTCACAGACCGACTTCTCAGCTTGGCCTTGGACCTGCCTCATCACTATGAACTTGCCTGATGATCTGAGGCAAGTTGGCAACAAGAGTTGAACCCAACTACCACCCCTAGGTCTGCTGTTTGTGCTGCTCTTTGGTACTCCAGGGCTGGGCCCTGGCTAGTGAGGCCCCTGCTCTGCTAGACATGTTATCACAGCTGGAGCAGCTGGCCCTTGCTGTACCCTCGTACCAGCTCTACGGCTCATGACTCATAAAAGTACTGCAGTACTCATTATGACCCAGCACTGGGCAGTGATGTGAACG